AAACATTGTGAAGGAGGTGTCATTTGAACTGGTTTGAAGGGTGGGGTTTTAATTTTAATTTTTAAATCCTATTTTTTTACATTTACAGTCACTTATTCGATACCCATATTAAGCTTATTCATAGCAAAATTTTAAATTCAAATAACACATGACATTGAACAGATTATCATGTTTTTCATCCTGTGTGTATTTTTTTGTGATAAGAACACTTAACATGAGGTCTATCCTCTTAACAAATTTTTAAGTGCCCAATACAATACTGTTAAATATAGGCACAGTGTTGAACTGCATATCTCTAGAACTCTTGCATAAATGAAACTTATACCCATTGAACAGCAGCACCCCATTTGCTCTTGCCCCCAGCCCCTGGCAACTATTCTTCTACTTTCCATTTCTACGAGTTTGACTACTTTAGATATCTCATGTAAGTGGAATCATGCAGTATTTGTCCTTCTGTGGTTTGGCTTATTTTGCTTAGCATAATGTCCTCCAGATTCATCCATGTTTCACATTCAAAAGAATTGAAATCAAGATCTCAAACAGACATTTTCACTTCCATATCCATTGTGGCATTATTCACGATAGCCAAGATATGGTAATGATCAAAATGTCCATTGATGAATGAATGGACTTAAAAAAAAAGTGGTATATACATACAATGGAATGTGATTCAACTCTAAAAATAAAGGAATCCTACCATATGAAGAATGGGTTTTTAGACAGGGTGAAGATCCACACTGTGGTACTTTTGAGAATAAAATGGAACCAGCCCTTATAACCTAGCAGTTAAAGTTCAGCTCGCTCTGCGTCGGTGGCCCAAGTGCAGTTCCAGGGCATGGAACCACATCACTTGTCTGTCAGTAGCCATGCTGTGGTGGTGGCTCACACAGAAGAACTAGAAGGACTCACAACTAAAATATACAACTACATACTTGGGCTTTGGGGAGAAAAAAAAAGAGAGAGAGTAAAGAGTAAAAGGGTGCATTGTTAATGATTACTCCAGGACAGTAGATGTCCTGCATCTGCAGGGACAGTGGCTGTTTCCTGCAAATTGGGACATATGGTTATCCCAGAAGGGGAGAGACTAGAGGGGCCATGAGCAGAGACCCCTGAGGGTGGTCAAGGGAGAGTGCATGGTGTATTCAATGAGTGAAAAAGTCCAAGTGAAAATAGTCCAATGAAAAAGTCACTGTGCTTGGTCAAAGCATCTTGAGAGTCACAGTGGGAGATAAAGCTAGAAAGATAGTCTGGGACTTGAACTAGAATGGAACTTGTAGGTTCTTAAACATAAAGCTAAGACATTTGGAAACTATTTAATAGGTGTTGGAGAGATGCTGCAATTTTTAAACAATAAAGTGACGTGATCACATATCTGTGTTATCAGTGATATGCAGAGTGAATTGGATCAGGCAGAGACTAAATGCAGAAGCCCAGATAAGAGACCACAGCAACAGTTTAAAGAGAGAAGAGAACCTGGACTGAGTCCAGGCAACAGGAATGGAAAGGAAGGGGTGGATGAAAGACACATCAGAGAAGCAGTTAAGAGAACTTGTCAATTGAATATAAAAGATAGGCTAAGAAAAAGGGAAAGCCGAAGGAAACTCCCAACATTTTAGGTCAAGGTAACTATAGGCATACTATATTTGTGGGTTAGGGAGAGGAGGGGCAGGGACCTGCAAATGCATATATAGTAGAGATCCTATTCATACTGTAATTTGGAAAAACACATATAAGGTAGCAATGGTACTTCTGCAGTTTAACTTTTGATAATACTTGTACACCAGGGCAGTTCAATCCGAATAAAGTTTTCAATAGCTTTCTGATAAATGTGAGTATGAGCAGCTTATTTTGAAAAGGGTGGACTTTGATATGGAGGGAGGGAGGGAGAGTGTTGGCAGCATATTTTTCTGTAACTATTCTTTCTGTCTTCTTTCTGGGACCCATTGGGATGCAACCCATATTTAGCTTAGTACAATGGTTCTTACTGCTTGTTATGAAAGTAAAAGTGAATTCTCCTGAAGAAAAGGTACAGCAATGATGGGCCTCTAGTTAGAATACGATTCAGAATGATTGTCAGCCGTGAGCTGGTGTCACCCAGTTACCTCAATAGCTGTTTTGAGAGACGTGAAAATTATCCATATTAAATCCTTGGTTTTTAAATATCACTCATTTCCTACAGAACACTGAGGATTGTGACAGATGCCCTGAAATCAAAAGAAAGGAAAAATGATAAGGTGCGACAACTTCTAAAAACTTGAATCAAGCTTCTGCCATGTTCCTGACTCACAAAATTGTGCCCAAGCTATATTTTATATTTCATTCAAACTCAATTTTCGAATGACTTTCTAAGCAGTAATTTTTTTTCTGGAGGAAATATGTCTGAGGAAATGGAGAGAAACAGGTGAAACAATTGAAAAGATAGCAGGTCATTGTAATTACATGAAAGTAGACACACACACAAATACACACAAACACATACACATCTATTTTTAAAAGGAAATTTCTAAAATAACAAAGGGAATCAAATCACAATGGAAACAAATTCAGAAATATGAATGTTTTATCTAGAAAACCTTTCCTGGTTTTTAATCAACCATTTATAGTAAGTCATAGTTATTCGTGGAGTAAAATCTTCGCGTACAATTAACCACTCTTAAATTTTCTATTCATAATTATCAGTTTGTTCAACATTCTTCTATGTTTAAGTAAGAAAAAATTAACCAGTCTGGCCATGGGGTATGGTCTGCTAATTTCCCTAACGTTGTGTCCCAGAAAAGTAGAGCAGACTTGAATACATTAGCCTTCCTGGTCCCAGAATAGAATCTCCAAACACCTCAAGGTGTGAATTATTGAGAAACGCTATCCCACTGTGGCGAGAGACTGCTGGGCGAATGGTTGCGTGGGCACGGAGTAGTCCTGGTGCTGTAGCATGTCCTTGGCACCAAAAGGAAAGAGAAATCATAATGTAAAACCCCATATGGAACCAAAACTCCAACTGATGCCCATTCATCAGTGCCAGTAGCAGAGGAGGATGGGTTTTACTTTTTAAAAATTTCCTTTTAGGCTCTGCTTTCCTTGCGCCCTGTCCTTTAAAATTGGTAAGATTCTTTCACTCATCTTCCTAGTATGTTTACCTCTCCCTGTGCTTACTACATAGCATTATAAATGTGTAACACTATAATGCTATGTAACAGCAGGTCATTATAAATACGCATCACACTATGTATTATATATAGTGGAAATATCTAGATAGAAATATATTATAGATGTATAATTACAGGGCCCTGGCCAACCCAGCTGGTACTTCTGATCACCTCCTCTCTCCCTCTTCTTAGTATTATGATTACACACAAGGGCTCTGACAACTTCAAGATTTCTAATTAAAGCACACCAGTGTTCCAGTTTTCTCTTCTTTAGTTCCTTACCTGCAGGCATTTCTTATGGGTATCGCGCCATTTAACAACCGTCTGACAGGATGAGACCCTGATCTTACTGAGACTGTGTCAGAATGCACGTGAACCAGGTCTCTCCTCACCCCCAAGCAGGTTTTTGATTTCAATGGTTGTTCACCAAAGAACACTAGAGAGCCAGTTTCCTCTCTTTTTATTTTTATTCTCATAATTCTTAAATCCAAATGAAATGTAAACTCTTAGGTTGAAGTTGGATTTAAACAAATGATTGTTTCTGGATTGACCATGATTAATTTTGCTGTAAAAGCTCCATTTCCGATTGTGAGGTGGAGTGATAGGGATGTGTCTGTAGTTTTAGATACAGCTAATATGAGTCATTACAGAAAAGTGTAATCATATTAGAATAACTACTAAATAAAAAAGCTTAGGCATTGGAGACCTGGATATGTTTGCCTTTGTAGCTACCTCTCTCTCCTGGACCTTAAATAAGTCAACTCACCTTACTACCCCTAAAAACCTCAAGGTATTCTTAGGAAACTCCAAAGTTACCTATATGAAAGCAATAAAGGTATAACCGGGCTTTATCAATGTGAGGTGTTATTGTGTCTGTTACTGTACGATTATTATTCGTTACTATTACTACTACCCTGCTAAAAATAGTGCATAACTTCAACCTGCCTGTTCTGAAAGATTAGAGCATATCCATATGCCCTCAAAAGCAACACATTTTTGCTATGAAAATTCTCATGTGCAACTTTTTAATCCTGTCAATAAGTTGATCTTTTTCTTTGCTAATAGATTCTTCACTCAGTATCAAACAGAGAATGGTTGTATTGTTTCTCACATTCAAGACATAGCTTTGGCATTCCAGACCACTTATCAGCTGAACAACATACAATATTGGGAAGAGGAAAAACTTTCTTTGAAAGCCTTGAGTATTCCTGCTGGATCGTGGCTGGATGTGTGACCCTTAGCAAGTCACTGAGTCTCTATGAGCCAATTTTTCTCTGAATCTGACAATATCTAGCTTACAGAATAGCTTGAAAAATTACAGTTTTGAGCCATGTCATTTTTTAACACATTATATACATTGTTGTTAGAATAGGTACAACTCTCCTCCCCTTAGAAATTTTGTGTAGTCAATCTTTTATTTAATAATGCCCTTAAAATGTGTGTGTGGAAAGATAACGGAGAAAGGAAGGAATGGAAAATGCCTACTCTTTTTTACTATATCATGTATTGGGGAAGAGTGAAGAGGAAAATCATAAAATCAAATAACTTAAATTACAATTTCAAATAAAAAATAGTTACTTGATGTTGGTGTTCTCTAATCTCTAAAAGCGTGTTACAAGTAAAGAACCAAGGGAGAATAAACAGTAAGAATTCTGAGGAGCTTCTTTAGTCATGGAACTATGATCACTCCTTGCTGAAGTCTCTGATTGCAGAAATCAGTCTGATCTACCTTTCAGAATTATTGGCTATAAAATGGTGTATCACTATTAGTATCTTTTTCTCCCTTCCTATATTTTATGCAATAAACAAGAAGTCATCTTGGACCCCTTTTAATTCTTTATTCCTTTTTGTCTTTAGGAGTTGTACAGATGTTCTGTGCTGCATAATCTTCATACTGTTCATTATTGGCTACATTCTTTTAGGACTTATGGGTGAGTAAATACAGGTATAGAAGATATTTCACATTTGCCAATGGAATAACTAATTCAATGTCACATTTTTAACGTTGATCATTTTCTTTCAGGAGCCTTCTTGTTAGTGATTATTGTCTTTTCAGGAGGGAATGTGCTTTATCAGGACTCATTGGGTAGCAGAAGCAATGAAAAATAAACACAGAGTAGATTATTCAAAGGCAAGCCCAAATTACTTAAGTAAACGCAATTATAAAGAAGGAAGAAAAAAGCTTATGGTTTCTTTTTAATAATTTTTACTTTTGAAATTCTATTAAGCAGCTAATTATGTTCATGTTGCTATTTATCAATATGAACGAGGGCCTAGATCAGTTTAGGTAATACATAAACTTTTCTTTTTATAAGCAAATTAAAAGAAAGGAACAATTATTAAGAATTAGACTAGGTAATTCGCCGACGTATAAGAAGTCTTATTGGTTTTGCCTACCAGAAAGAGATATCCTGTTGTTTATTGTTAGGTTAAAGATTTTTCTATGAAAGTGAAAATAAGGAGGCCAAATATAGAAATTCTTTATTTGCACTTTTTAAAAACTATTAAAGGAACTGGTGTGGATATTTTCTGTAAAACGGTTTCATAATTGCATGTGAATGTATCACATTTTTCCTCAGAAACTTAAGTCCTGTTCCTTAGATGTTGACTTAGGAAATTTTAACATATCATTATTAGGGTGGGGGCTGTAAAAGTCAGATAATTCTTCTAGTACCGATAATTAATGGCCTGGAGTTAATGTGGATAGAATATATTAGCAGAAAGAAGGCTGTGCCTACCTAGGGAACGATGGAAAATACTCTTCCCTGGTCTTCATTTGTATCTCTCAATAAGAGAAATAGTTTGAGAACAGCAATTGAAACTAATTCCAAAACATCATCTCAGTAATGATGTGCAAAAACTACACAGAATTGGAGAATTTGAAAAAAGTAAGGCAGGACGATAGGGAGGGAGAGAAGAATAAAGAACCATAAACCACAAAATTAAGTAATGTACTCTAAGGCCTTCAGAAGATTTCTTTGGTGTTTCTTCAAAGTCTTTTAACTTCTAAACATTAATACACAATACACGTGTAAATTGAATATTATAATAAAATGAATTTCCTTGTTATACAACTAATAGAATTTTAACTTTAACTTTGGGACACATCTTTCTTGTCTATGTAATTTTTTTTGTTTTGTTTTTACCTTTTGTCGTTGGAATGAAATTTATTTAATAAGAGAAGAAGATTTGGAGTCGAGCTGATCTGGTGTTTCCTCACATTATTTGGTGGACTTGGGCTCATTTCTTAACCTAAGTTTTCTCATCAGTAAAATATGGAAACACTCCCTACTTTTCTCCAACAGCAGGGCTGTTTGAGAAGTAAATGAAATGATATCCAGCTGTACTAATGATGCTTCATAATGCAGGCATACCTTGGAGATATTGTGGGTTCGGTTCCGGACCACTGCAATAAAGTATCACAATAAAGTGAGTGGCACAATTTTTTTTGTTTCCCTGTGCATATAAAAGTTATGTAGGGGCTGGGCCCATGGCTGAGTGGTTAAAGTTGTGTGTGCTCCGCTTCAGCAGTCTGGGTTCGTGGGTTCAGATCCTGGGTGCGGACCTACTCCACTCATCAGTCATGCTGTGGAGGCATCCCGCCACAAAGTGGAGGAAGACTGGCACAGAAGTTAGCTCAGGGCTAATCTTCCTCAAGCAAAAAAAAAGGAAGATTGGCAATGGATGTTAGTTCAGGGTGAATCTTCCTCACCAAAAGAAAAACAGTTATGTTAACACTATATGTAGTCTATTAAGTGTGCAATAGCATTATGTCCAAAATAACAAGTTACATGCCTTAATTAAAAAATGCTTTGTTTGCTAAAAAACACTAACTATCATCTGAACCTTCAGAGAGTCATAATCTTATTGCTGGTGGAGGGTCTTGCCTCGATCTTGATGGTTGCTGACTGATCAAGGTGGTGGTTGCTGAAGGTTGGGATGGCTGTGGCAATTTCCTAAAATAAGACAACAGTGAAGTTTGTTGCATTGATTGACTCTTCCTCTCATGAATGATTTCTCTGTAGCATGGGATGGTGCTTGATAGCATTTCACCCACAATAGAACTTATTTCAAAATTGGAGTCAATCCTCTCAAACTCTGTGCTGCTTTATCAGCTAAGTTTATGTCATATTCTAAACTCTTTGTTGTAGTTTCAACAATCTTCACCAGGAGTAGATTCCATCTCAAGAAACCACTTTCTTTGTTCATCCATAAGAAGCAACTCCTCATCCGTTACAGTCTTATCATGAGATTGCAGCAATCCAACCTTATTTTTAGGCTGCACTTCTAATTCTAGCTCTTTTGCTATTTCCACTACATCTGCAGTTACTTCCTCCACTGAAGTCTTGGACCCCTCAAAGTCATCCATGAGGGCTGGAATCAACTTCTTCCAAACTCCTGTTAATGTTGATACTCTGAGCTCTTCCCATGAATCACAAATGTTCTTAATGGCATCTAAAATGGTGAATCCTTTCCAGAAGGTTTTCAATTTACTTTGCCCAGATCCATCAGAGGAATCACTATCTATGGCAGCTATAGCCTCACAAAATGTATTTCTTAAATAATAGGACTTGAAAGTCAAAATCTCTCCTTGATATCCATGGGCTGCAGAATGGACGTTGTGTTAGCAGGCATGGAAACAACAGTAATCTTGTTGTACATATCCATTAGAGCTCCTGGGTGACCAGGTGCCTTGTCAGTGAGCAGTAATATTTTGAAAGGAATCTTCTTTTCTGAGCAGCAGGTCTCAACAGTAGGCTTAAAATATTCAGTAAACCATGTTGTAAACAGATGTGCTGTCATCCAGGTTTATTGTGCCATTTACAGAGCACAGGCAGAGTAGATTTAGCATAATTCTCTCTATAAATTCATAATTTAGCATTGGCTTCAACTTAAAGTTACCAGCTGCATTTGCCCCTAACGAGAGAGTCAACTTGTCCTTTGAAGCTTTGAAGCCAGGCATTGGCTTCTCCTCTCCAGCTATGAAGGTCCTAGATGGCATCTTCTTCCAATATAAGGCTGTTTTGTCTACATTGAAACTCTGTTATTTAGCGTAGCCGCCTTCATTAATTACCTTAGCTGGGTCTTCTGGGTAACTTGCTGCAGCTTCTGCATCAGCACTTGCTGCTTCCCTTTGTACTTTTATGTTATGGAGACGGCTTCTTTCCTTAAACCTCATGAACCAACCTCTGCTAGCTTCCAACTATTCTTCTGCAGCTTCCTCACCCCTCTCAGCCTTCACAGAACTGACGACAGTGAGGGCCTGGCTCTGGATTAGGCTTTGGCTTAAGGGAATATTGTGACTGGTTTGATCCTCTATCCAGACCACTAAAACTTTGTCCGTATCAGCAATAAGGCTGTTTCACTTTTTTATCATTCATGTATTCACTGGAGTAACACTTTTAATTTCCCTCAAGAACTTTCCCTTTGCATTCACAACTTAGCTAACTGGCGCTAGTGGCCTAGTTTTTGCCCTGTCTTGGCTTTCGGCATGCCTTCTCCAATAAGTTTAATCATTTCTGGCTTTTGATTTAAAGTGAGAGACGTGTGATTCTTCCTTTCACTTGAACAGTTAGAGGCCATTGTAGGGTTATTAATTGGTCTAATTTCAATATTGTGTCTCAGGGAGTAGAGGGGCCCGAGGGGAGGGAGAGAGATGGCGGAACAGCCCGTTGGTGGAGCAGTCAGAACACGCACAGCGTTTATTGATTAAGTTCGCCGTCTTACATGGGCACAGTTTATGGCACCGCAAAACAGTTACAATGATAACATCGAGATCACCGACCACAGATCACCGTAACAAATATAATAATAATAATGAAAAAGTTTGAACTACTGTGAGAATTACCAAAACGTGACACAGAGACGAAGTGAGCAAATGCTGTTTGAAAAATGGCACCGATAGACTTGCTCTATGCAGGGTTGCCACAGACCTTTGGTTTGTAAAAAGTGCATTATCTGCGAAGCACAATAAAGCAAAGCACAATAAGGTGAGGTATGGCTGTAGTACTAGGCAATATTTCACTTGCTACCATTGCATAAGCTAGTTGTTCTGAATTTTAATAAATTGTTTTTAAATGTAATTTACTATATTGTTTCTACGGCAACCCATAATTTTGGTTATTAAAGTTTGGATGCACACAGGAACTTCATAAGGATCTCATATTGTGCCTGGATCTTTCCTTTAGGAGGCCTTATGACATAACTGAATAAGTCTCTCCTCCATTATCTCAGAGCCGGTCTGTTGTAAGCCAGAGAAATGCCTTCTGTCCTATAGAGCTGGGGAAGCCACTGCCTCTCTCTCTCCTGTTGACACAGTAGAGGGAAGGGGTGGGAATGCACACCATCATTCCCTGTGGAGAGAGATGAGAAATTTGACTTTTTTTTTTGTTTAAGATCTCCGGATTCAGTTTGTAAATGCCTTAACTCACATAATGAAATTGGAGGATAAATTTTCCTCAATGAAAAACTGTTTAATGTTGGATTAATTTAGGGATTCCCTCAAATTAATCCTGATGCCACCGACTAAAAAGGGTGACTCACAAAATTTACTAGATATGTATATACATATTTTCCACATCCCTGAACTACAAATAGCCTTACTAGCCTGTTTCTAATATAAATTAAACTCTTCAGTTATGTCCAATGTTGGACTAAAAGAAGAATGAAGGAACACAATTGGCAGAGGTTACTAAGAGTGTGAAGAATTTTTTAACATCAAAGAATATACACCTTTACCTGGGGAGAGATGATGCTAAGTCAGTTTCACTGATTTGTTATAAGAAGTGTGGCATCTTTTGCCATCTTTGTTAGATCTGGACTTCTTAGGTTTATCTTTCATCCATATTCTTTTCATAAGAAGCATTACCATGAAAGAGCCATATTTCTTACAAATTCTGCTGAGAAGCTGTTCTTTGCCTTTTATGTGGAA